AATCAGCCCTGAAAGCATATGTGTGAATAACATTATACACAGTGATTGGTTATATTTAGGAATACATATGTATATACATATATGCATGTAATGATGAATAATGGGAAAACAAAGGCCATGAATTTGAAAAGGAGCAAGGCAGGATTTAAGGGAGGGCCTGGAAGGAAGAAGGGGAAGGGGATAATGATGTAATTACATTGTAATTTCTAAAATTTGAAATTAAAAAAAAATTAAGTATAAAGACAGCCCACTGCTTAGAAGAAAACATTTGCCAAAACCAGATGTGCTGAGAGTCTCGCATTCTGAATATTTCAAGAACTATTATGACAGCACCAAAAGACAAGCAATTCCACTAAAAGTTGAGTTGAAAGACAGACTCCAGAGAAAACACACAAGTGGCCAATCAGCCCAGGAATTGATGCTAAGCACCACTAGCCATCAGCAAAATGCAAATCAAGCCACAGTAAATACCAGTGCATCCCCAGGAGGATGACCATAAGAGCAGAGAGACCATAACAAGTGTTGACAAGGGTCGGAGTAAGGGAATCTTCCTAGATTGGCCAGTGGGAGTTGTTTTGAAGAACAGTTTGGCAGTTCCCCAAGATGGGAAACGAGAAGGTACCCTCCCACTCCTGGATCTATAGCCAAAAAAATAAAAAAATATATTTCTGTCCACACCAAATGTATGTATGTACGTACACACACACACACACACACACACACACACACACACACACGGAGGAATCTTCTTTGTTCATAATAAACTAAAGAGTGGAAACAGCTGAATTTTCCACCAACTGGTCAATGGATAAGCGAAATGAAGAATTTGTTTAGAATAATATTCAGTCATGGAAAGGAACCAAGTGTGAATACATGCTGCACTGTAAATGGATCTAGAAAAGGTTTTGCTAAGTAAAGGAAGCCCATCGGGAGACCACACATAGTTAAGATTGCATATTTGTAAAAAGTCTGAAACAGAGAAACCCCTGGAAATAGAAAGCTAGCCAAGGGCTTCAGAGGGTGAATGTGGGTAGTAACTAAGAATCAATATTGGGTTTTTGAGGGGAGTCGATAATGAAATGTTCTACAACTGATAGTATTACAATTCCTAAAGTTGTAAATGTACTTCCAAAAACCCACTTAATTGTGCACTTTAAAAGTAGCTGGGTCTGGGGTGGATGGGAGCAAGCAGTGCGTGTGTGTGTGTGTGTGTGTGTGTGTGTGTGTGTGTGTGTGTGTGTGATGCATGCATGGATGTCTGCATGCCATGTTTGTGAAGGTGCCTACAGAGGCCAGAAGATGATGTCAGATTCCCGAGAGCTGGAGTCACAGGTGGTTGTGAGCCACTCAGTATGGGTGCTGGGGTCCAAATTCAGGATCTCTGGAAAAGCAGTAAGTTCTAAGTGATCGCTAAGACAGCTCCCCGCCTCCCGAGCTAAACCCTTGTATTTATAACTTGTTGTTGTTGTTGTTGTTGCTGTTGTTGTCGATACCAGAGCTTAGCTCTTCCATACAAATGAGCTGTCAAAACTCAGCTCTGCTCTTTGGACCTGCTGCTGTTCCTCTTTGAGAGTAATTCTGCTTCTGTAAGGGTCTCTGTGTTTTGATCAGTTTGATCAGGAATAAGGACCCAAAGAGGGATAGGAGATAAGAACAGGGAAGGGTATGCATGTGCCTCTAAAAGACAAAGGTAATTTAATGTGCTCTGAAAGAATGTAGCTTTGACAACCCCCACAGTGTCCAAACAGTACTGTGCTTGCTTGCATCTACCCCAGACCCCAGCTACCTGGAAACTGAGGCTGTTCAGAGTCACAGCTTCTGGAGGGAGATGAAAAGCTTTCACTGTGGCCTTTTCTGCTCTAAACCCTTGTAGGAATCAGAGCTCTGAGAGGCTCACTGAAAGGTTCATCAGGACTCAAGTGTGTTTTGCTTGTGCCTGGTGAGATGCAAGGAGACAAGGGACCCTATAGCACTAGGTAAATGGGAAATGGGAAAGGTTTTTCTCTCCTGTCAGAAACCATCTGAGGAAAAGCTTTGTGCTGATTATAAGTTAACTTTCAAGATTGCTGATCCATGGGAAACAAAAGCAAACCAGAACAGGGGAGCTGGACAAACGTGCCCATGAAACAGCCAAAGAGGTGATAATATCGGATCGTAACCAGCAACTGTGTGAACCTGGGTGGGAGAAACCCAAAGTTCTTTGGGCTTTAGAGAAATCAAACTCTTGTCACTCCAACCTCCAGAGTCACTCCCCCCATGCCTGTGTTGACAAGGGAAACTTTCTGTTTATCTGTAGCCACTCGACTTGTGCCTATCAGTATCCTACCGTGATCAGAATCAGAATCCGAAAACTGTCCTTGATGTAGCTAGACTCTGGAAACAACAGTCCAAGGAGACTCAGAGACTAAACTCTTACTGAAGTATTTTGCTGTGTGTGTGTGTGTGTGTGTGTGTGTGTGTGTGTGTGTGTGTGTGTGACAGAGAGAGAGAGAGAGAGAGAGAGAGAGAGAGAGAGAGAGAGAGAGAGAGAGAATGCCTGCATGCTATGTTTGTGAAGGCCAGAAGATGATGTCAGATCCCCAAGAACTGGAGTCACAGGTGATTGAGAGACATTATTCAGTATGGGTGCTGGGAACCAAACTCTGGGAAAGCAGTATGTTCTAAGTTCTGTAAGGAGTTATAATAATTCTTCCCTCTCGTTCAGAGCCGTAAACAAGGACTTCCCGTATACTTCCCCAACTCTAAAATATTTGATGCTTTTGTGCCTCACAGAGTCACCTAAAAGCACAGAGACCCTTACAGAAGCAGAATTACTCTCAAAGAACAGCAGCAGTTTCAAAGAGCAGAGCTGAGTTTAGACAGCTCATTTGGATGGAAGAGCTAAGCTCTGTTATCGACAACAACAGCAACAACAAAAAAGTTATAAATTCATGTCCTGCATCAGCCAAAAAAACCCAGAAATAACAGCTGTCATTTCAGAATACTTCTGATGTCCAGGATCTGGACTAAGTGATTCCAAGAATGATTTTAGTCCTAGCATGAGATTTATATCTCACCACTGTCTTCATTGTGTATTTTAATCCCAGGCCGCAAAGGCAGTTTGGCATCTAAGCCTTCACTCTCAGCCGTCCATCACACGTGACAAGTTACAGAAGAGCTTTGGTGGTGTTGGAAGAGTCCACTGTTGTTTACACCACAGAAATGTCATGTGCATGTGCGTGTGTGTGCCTGTGTGTGTGTTTAAGCACTGCTGCTCTGTTTCTCTCTTTAGAGTAAGACACACAGACTGAGCAAAGTTCCTCTGTAATAAAACCAAATCCAACTGTAGCTTTTCTGATCAAAGATGAGAGGAGGATCTGGGAGGCTGGCCTGCTCCCAGACCCCACCCCACCCTCTATTCACTCATAGGAAGTGGGTCCACCTCTGTGGTCTCTGGCCTCTGATATTTCCAATGCAAAATCCACTCCCTGACCTCTTTGTACCTGGGTTAACTGGAAGGTTCTCCCCAGTTTCCGTCTTGTAGGGTAAGCCATGAGCAAAATAAGAATATGTTGTCGAAGGGAGAGGCTCCTGGTATGTGTTAGCTTTTGAGGGATGGGCAGGATATTTTTAAGTATGATGAATTTGATTAAATGCCTAACTTACAATTATTTCAAAGCTGAAAGAAAAAGAAGATGCTTTGAAAGTGTCGTCATGGGGAATTAGATAGCGTGGGATTGTAGCTTGATGATAGCGTTCTCACCTTGCATCCAGGCAGCCCTGGGTTAGATCCTCCAGCACCCAGTAACAAGAATGAGACTGTTGAAGCCAAATACTCTGTGTCTAGGTAGAATGCTGGAATTGAGCCTCTAATATCTACCCAGACAAAGGTTTACTCTAAGCCAGATGCAGTGGTGTTTGCCTAAGCCCAGTACATGGGAAACTTGGTGACTTCAAAGTTAACCTGGACTATATCACAGCCCTATCTTAAAATGAAAGACTTGCATTCAGGAGTAAGCTTGTGTAATAGGCATAAATGAATTGACATTAGTCCAGTCCAAGGAAGGACTGGTGTGTGTTGGGAATCTGGAACAGCATTGACCAAGCCTTTGTTTATGGAGGACCTGTGTCATCCTTAGGTAACCAGGAGCCACAAATGACTTTAGTCTGAGGGTTAGGCAGTCCCACAGTAAGTCACCATTCACTGCACTGTCACAAGAGGACCTCAGGCAGAATGGTCAAGGGACTTAAGTGGCAAATGACTTGATGTTCCCTCTGTGCATCTAAAAGACATATGTCATTCTGTCACTCTGGAAATGCCCCAGGAGAGAACAACAACACTCCTCCAGAGCTCCCAACCCTGGGAGGGTGAGCATGTAAGAAGCCATGTTAGAGCCTTTTATATGCAACCCATTGAAATAGTGACTAGAAGGAAGGTTTATGGGGTGGGCCTCACCTTTCAAAGGAGGGTATGTATCCCTTACAAACAGATAGATAGCATTTCTGTGAATTTTTAAACTGTTAATAACATTCTTAGGACAGGTGAAGATTAGTGGGGGTAGGGTGTTATTTTATTTGTTTTTATGTTTGTTTGAAACAGGGTCTCATAACCTAGGCCATCCTCAAACTTACTATGCAACCAAGGTTGACCCCTGAGTTCTCCAGTGCTCGGATTACAAATGCACACCACTACACCTACCACACCTCAAACATACTTTTTTTTTAAGCATTTAAAAGTTTTTTGTAAGTTTATTTTATTTAAATTTTGTAAATTTTATTTAATAATAAATAAGTTATTTACTAATAAGTAAATAATAAATAAAATATATTACATTTTATTTAAATCTTTAAAAAGAAACGCTCTTAAGTCTCCAAGGACTGTTGCCTACCGCTTGCAAGCAATTGCTCACACTTGTGGCTCTTCTGAGTCCCTTGCATTTGAGCTTGCCTGGATTGTTAGGGGGCGTCTTTACAGGACAGATTTGCATCTAATGCTTGGCTGTTTCTCTTCTTGTATGTAGTTCCATATGTGCTGAAGAGCTGTGCTGAATTCATAGAGACTCATGGCATTGTGGATGGAATCTATCGCCTCTCGGGTGTCACCTCAAACATTCAGCGGCTAAGGTAAGCTAAATCAAGAGCCCAGAATCCTCCAGTGAGCCTTCTCTCATTCTGTCTGTCTCTGCTGGCAGTTTTTTGGGAGTACTGGAAACGTGAAAGATGGCCTCTGTGAGGTACAAACTACCTGTCAGTTCTAACTCTAATCGGGAGGCTTCCAGCCTGGTAGAATTCTGTCCAGTGAAAACGGCTTTTTCTTTGTCTTGGGTAGGGTTTATGCTTCGTTGATGGACTAGATTTACCTCATGTGATCTAAATTATATGTTAGGGAACACGTTTTTCTAAAGCCCAGCTAGATTAGGGTCCCTTGCATAGCATAGAATTCTGAGGCCCTTGGAAGGTTTTCTTTGGATACACACTTGTTATTTCAGATGGTTGAGAAATTAGAAGTCTGCATAACTGTACATTTCTCTAACTGATGGTGCTACCACACCCAGCTGCTTAGGTGTTTTCTTTTCTTCTTCTTCTTCTTCTTCTTCTTCTTCTTCTTTTTTTTTTTGTTTGTTTTTTGAGACAGGGTTTCTCTGTGTAGTCCTGGCTGTCCTGGAACTCACTCTGTAGACCAGGCTGGCCTCGAACTCAGAAATCCGCCTGCCTCTGCCTCCCAAGTGCTGGGATTAAAGGCGTGTGCCACCACTGCCCAGCGGTTGTTTGTTTTTAAGAAAAGGTCTGCCTGACTAGCTTTGAACTCACAACTCCTTCTTCATCCTCCCAGGTCCTGGGATCCCAGCTGCATATTACCATACTCGGCATGAGGATCCCTTAGAATTTTATTGACAGCATTTTTTTCTTTCTGGAGATAAGTACTGGGCCTAGAGCTTGCAAGCCAAGGTCCATGACGAGGTAGTTGGCATCCAGAAAGATGCTTAGGTAGGGGGAATCTTTTTCATTTAGAGAGTGCCTTAGCCTTGAGCAGGGAAAGTCTGGGCAAAATAAATGAATAAATTCTAGATTCTTCTCTCCTGCTCTCAAAGAAACACATGCACATAACACCTTTCTTCTTGAGCCCCATGAGTTACCTTGAGGTACTTACAGTATTGGGGAGTTTCCCACTCTTCTTTGAAGCGATGGAAGCAGAGTAGAGGGAGGCAATGGACTGCTTTGAAAATGTCAATTCTCGGAGTCTCGTGGGGTTTATCACTACCTAATTGACAGAGGAGTACACTCAGGAGCTTAACTTCTATATTAAAACTAAAACTCATCATTTAAAAACCATACTTGTAGTTTACAACCATGTACAGTTTGAGGCAGTGTACTCACATAAGGAAATGTTTTCTGATTTGATGTCAAACCTCCACCAACTGGAGCTGGTGGTACAGGCCTGTGATGTCAGTTCAAGACCAGCCTGGCCTACACCGTGAGACCCTGTTTCAAACAATGTGGATCAAAGGGAAAGAAAACAAAGTACAAGGAAAGAAAGAAAATGGCACAGATGCCTAACCTAGAACCAGATGGTCATGGTGTTTCCTGGAATTCCACTGAGGACTGACCACTTAAGATATTCACACAATCGAGTGACACATAAGAGTCACCACTAAGCCACCTAGAAAAAAAGTTTCCCTAAGCAGCAGTTGAATTAGGTCCTCAAACCTTGGGTTTGAGTATCCAGTTAAAGCGAGTTTGAGACATGACTATGGAAATATGGGATAAGGCCTGACACTGTCCCCACCTCCCCGCCTCACCCCACCTTCCAGTTTTGGGTCTCACTGCTAAAAAAAAAAAAAAAAAAAAAAAAAGTTTCATTTTGAGTAACACTTTGGAAAAACTGAAATCTCAATAGACTTTTTTGGCAGACATTTCCTATCTACCCAATGCTCCTGACCAAGACACAGATAAGGTGCTGTGGGGACCTCTGGTCACAAATGAGTTTTCTGACCTCCAGTCACAACCGACTTCCAAGCAAGCATCAGGCTCCAGAAGCGATGTCTCTCCAGTGGCCTCCTGATGCCTGCAGTGGAGGTCAGGAGCACAGGCATATCAGCAGTGGAGGCTCGTTTTTACTCCTGGGCCTCCGGGCAGCTGCTGACATGGAGCGCATGTTCCCCGGGATTGTTATGTCTCCGTCTCTGTTGTTCCAGGCAGGAGTTTGGCTCAGATCAATGCCCAGATCTGACAAGGGAAGTGTACCTTCAAGATATCCACTGCGTGGGCTCCCTGTGCAAGCTCTACTTCAGGGAGCTGCCCAACCCCCTCCTGACCTATGAGCTCTATGAGAAATTCACGGTGAGTGTTTGGATTTCTATTGTGGTTAGCGGGCGGGATGCATGGACCGGCCAAGGGCAGTTTCAACACTGAAATAACAATAACACGACTCGCCAGCTGGTTGGCATTATCTTAGCATGGTGGTGGATGTAAGACAGCAAGGGAAGGCGAGTGGTCGGACTGTTTGCTAACTGCTCCTTCCTTGGATTCTCAGAATGATGCTGTTTGTTTTGAGAGCTGGGCTAAATTATTTCTATGCTTATTCAACTGAATGTACCTCATTGTTCAGGGAGAAAACTGAGAACCAAAGAAGTAAAGTGGCTGGCCCAAGGTCACACAGCAGAGCCCAGGGCAGGAATCTCAGGCCTCTGGTGCTTGCTGTACATTGTGATGGTTCGGTTTTTCAAAAGAGTGTTCCTTCTGTGTTTGGGGGCTTGGGGAACAGACCAGTAGGTAGAAAAGGGAGATAGACCCCCCCACTCCACCTCATCCCAAACATCAAAAGACTAGGTCAGAAAGCTAAAAGGAAAAGAAAAAAAAAAACAGCAAAGCACCTGGGCCAGGGGAAGAGAGGATGGGATATGCCAATGGACTGCCGATGGAAAAGCAAACTAGCTGCACCGTGCTGTACGGCTATCAAATGATAGCTCACCCATAGGTGAGCAGGAAAGAGACCTAATGGCTCAAAACACATGATTAAAGCAAATGTTAAAGTCAGGCTTGACAAGGTAGCCAGATGCAGGGAAACAAAGCCTGCAGGTTCTCTCTCAGATCCAAGCTGGTGATGCCTCTGTGTGTGTGTGTGTGTGTGTGCGCACGCATGCGTGTGTAAGTGTGGGTACAGGCTAGGAAACTGGAGTGCAAACCCAGGGGGAAAGGGGTGTGCAGGAAGTGGGGGAGGACAGCAGGACACGTGATGTGAACATGGAAAGAGGCTTTGGTGGGTGGAAGGGACAAAGGGACTCAGGCACAGGGGAAGTGGGGAGACTTGGCAAAAGCAGATCTTGTTTGAAAATGTTAGAATGAAAGCTAATGCCAAGTGTGTTAATTAAAAATTTTAATAGGTTTTTAAAAAACTAAAATAAGACCACACAAGTAGATTATAGAATGGGTGGATGGATGCATGGAGAAACACAAGGGGAGAAGAGTGGGGTCGCCTAAGATACTTGATCACAGAGTCAGAGGAGAACCGAGGAAACGACCCTGCAAGGCCAGTGCAGGGGTCAGGGCACCGTATGAATTAGCAGCCCAGATAGAAAACACCAGATCTAGGGTCCTAGTCATGCACCAGGACATTTCTCAATATCTCGTAATAAATTTTGACCATGTGAAAAGTTCTTTCATTCAAACTCAAGCAGAAATAAATGAATAATTACTTTTAAGAGTTGAGCTTGGAGCTGGAGGGATGGCTCAGAGGTTAAGAGAACTAACTGCTCTTCCAGAGGTCCTGAGTTCAATTCCTAGCAACCACATGGTGGCTCACAACCATCTGTGATGGGATCTGATGCCCTCTTCTGGTGTGTCTGAAGACAGCTACAGTGTACTCACATATATATAATAAATAAATCTTAAAAGAGAAAGAAAGAAAAGAAAGTCTTGGGAGAGTAGGAATGTGGAAGGCACACACACACAGAGACCACAGATAACTTTTAAGAAAAAAAATTAACTTTCTAAAAGGCTTAAAAAGAAGGAAATTCAAGAATGGTATTTATTGCCGGGCGGTGGTGGCGCACACCTTTAAACCCAGCACTTGGGAGGCAGAGGCAGGCGGATTTCTGAGTTCGAGGCCAGCCTGGTCTACCGAGTGAGTTCAGGACAGCCAGGGCTACACAGAGAAACCCTGTCTCGAAAAAACCAAAAAAAAAAAAAAAATGGTATTTATTTTGATGATATAACTGTAGTATTAGCTCTCTTGTATAATAATTTGCATAACCTTGCCCACAGACTACGTTGAATTTTAGTGAAAAATAGCTCAAAGCACACAGAAACCTTAATCATAAACACTGGCGACTGTAGCTGCTGATGAAGAGTTGTGGATAGCTAGATAAATTCTTGACAAAAAAAACTTCAAAAACAGTTTCTTTCTAATTTTGTCAACAACAGCCTTGGGTTGTTGACACCTGCTACCCATAGCCTCCACTTCTCTCTTTGTGGTGCTCTCACAGGGAATGGAAAAGTAGAGAAAAAACTGGAAGACAATATTTGTCAACTGGATTGAAGAAAATGGCATGAACTCAGACAGATTATTGACAATAAAAAGTAAAATGAGAATGTTTTGTTTTGATTACAGAAGTAGGGCCTACTTATGTTCATTCTGTTACAGACTGTCCCTTAGCAGATGTCTTTGCCTACAGTAATGAATGTGATGTCTAAGCGAGCCTTAGGCATAGGAAAACAGCTCTGTTACACTGTGACATTGTGTTTAACTCACCTACATAGCTGAAGTCAAATACTGCCTCACTGGATTAACAAGATGATTTAAAATAGTAGTGGAATAATAATATTAACAATGATAATAGCTGCCTTGTAATTGAGTGACTTCTCTGTTAAATAGGACCTTACAAGCTGGGCATACACCAACAGCACTAGGGAGGCAGATGCAGGTGGATCTCTGTGAGTTCAAGGCCAGCCTGGTCTACAGAGCAAGTTTCGGGACAGTCAGGGCTACACAGAGAAACCAAACCTCAAAAAAAAAAAAAAAATCACAACAAAACCAAACAAGATGAATAGGAGCTCACTTAGTACCTTACGAAGTAGGTGTTAACGTCATTCACATGCAGATGAGTACTGCTCACAGGTAGAGATAAAGATTAAATTCTGCTCACAACTCCCACACCACTCAAATACAGTGTGAGTTCTAAAAGCATTAGCTATTAACAGGAGACACACTGAAGGACAAGGTCCAGAAGCGGTACTGAGAGTCAGCTAAGGACGGGAAAACCAAGTTGTCTTCCTACCATTTAGCAAGTGGAAGGATGTCCTCACAATAAAAGCATAGGGGAAAAAAATTAAGGAAAAAAATAACAAAGGACAGATTTGAAAAACAAATATTCCCCTTAGGCTGGAAAGATGGCTTAGGAGTTAAGAACACTGGCTTCTCTTCCAGGGGACCCATGTAATGCTTTACAACCATCTATTACTCCAGTTCCAGGGGATTCCACATACTTTTCGACCTCAGGCACCGGGCACCCATGTGGTATACAGACATAAATGCTGGCAAAAGTCCCATACACATGAAATAAAATAAACGTGTGTGTGTGTGTGTGTGTGTGTGTGTGTGTGTGTGTGTGTGT